GGTGGAGACCAGAGTGGGGTACAGGTTGGCAGGGGTCTGTGAAGCCAGGCTGGGCTGCACCAGCAGTAAGGTAGGAGCTGGCCCGGTTCCACTGAGCCCCTGCCAGATGGGGCCCCACACTCCTGCCACCCTGCTCTGGGCCCCACCGACAGTGGCCCTGGGACACGGGTGCGGGCTCTGTGCTCCCACTGGCTCCCCACCCACTCATACCCAGTGCCCCCCAGCCCTGTGGTATAGACAGGGGGCAGCGCACAGCCCCGACCCCCTGCTCACCAGCAGGGAAGCAGCTGGTGCTGAGCACGGGGAAAGTGGTCTCTTGCCTGCCCCATGGCCAGTGCTCCCTGCTGCTGCAGCTGCTCGCAGCCCACATGGGACTGTCCTGAACAGGTACAGGCAGCCTTATGTGGGCTGCAAGCAGCTACAGCACGGGGCACCAGCCATGGGGCACGTGAGGGTCCACTTTTCCCCATGCTCAGCACCAGCTTGTAACCCGCCCCACTGCCAAGCATGGCAGTGGGGCCAGGTTACAAGGTGGTGCTGAGCGGGGGGGTGGGGGGGAGAAAGAGAAGCAGCCCCTCCCCACCCACGCCCGGTGCCCTGTGCTGCAGCTGCTTGCAGCCCGCATGGGATTGCCTGCGCTGGCCATGGGACAGGCGAGGGGCTGCTTTTCTTCGTGCAGGGAAGGAGCCCAGGGAAAAGCTGAGCACATGGGGAAGCAGCCTCTCCCATGCCCTGCACCCGGTGCCCCACACTGCAGGCGCTCGCAGCCCACATAGGGCTGTCCGGAGCGGGCACAGGCAGCCCCACGCAGGCTACAAGCAGCTGCAGCATGGGGCACCAGGCATGGGTGGGGAGGGGCCACTCCCCCCCATGCTCCTTCCTTGCCTGGGATCCCCCCCACCCCACTTACCTGAGTTTCCTGTGCCAGGGCAGCCATGTACTCCCAGCCCAGAAACCCCGGCTAGGGCTTCTGGCTGGGGGGGCAGGGCCAGTCAGCCCCGCTGTTGTGGGAGCCCGTTGGGCTTCTCCTGAGTCCTACTGCCCTTGGTTCCTGCATTTTTGACAGGAACCAAGGGCAGAGAAATATTAACTTTCTACATTTTTTTTAAGGGGGCCCTCAGGCCGGATAGAATGCGCTTGCGGGCTGCATCCAGCCCGCGAGCCGTATTTTGCCCACCCCTGCTCTAGACACAGATCCTGGGAGTACGGCGTCCTGCACTGCAGTGCCTGTCAGCAAACTGAACTGTTTCTATATGCTAGTTTTGTAAAACTTTCCAACCTCTTCCAGCTCACAACCTGTGATCCCCATCATGTGGAAGCAACTGATATAATTTAAGAACATAACTGCGTGGTACTGGACAGGCCAGTGTTTCTAGCCCAGTATCACATCTCCAACAATGGCAAGCAGTAGTGCTTTAGAGCAGGGGTGCTCAACTCCCAGCTCGTGGACCAGATCCACCTTGCAGAGCCATACCATCTGGCCTGCAGGTGTCCAAAAATTTGGTAGCAGAGGAATGGTGGCAGAAATTGCTGCTCCCCAATGTCAAATTTCCAGACCCATGGCGAGCCAGGCAGGCTGGACAGCATGCTGGATCTGCATAGAGGTGGCCCAACGCCCTACCCAAGGATATAGGGGTTGACTCCAGGAGGTGGTGTGGAGCTCAATCCTAGTTCATGGGACTCAGTCTGACACAAGGGCACAGAAGGTTAACTACTGCTTTAGAGGAAAAGTATATAAATGAGGCATATCTCAAATGATCCGTACCTTCCCCTGGCATCAACTTTCACTGGTATAGGGATATCAGAGGATTACATCCCTGACTATCTGAGCTAACTGATCCCCACAATGGACATGTCATTCATGTATTTGTCTAATCTGTTTCTGAACCCAACTATACAAGCAGGATACAGTCTGTGGTTAAGTCACGGGACAGCCAAGTTCAATTCCCGACTCTTCCACAGACATTATGTGGGGCTTTAGGTAAGTCACTTAATCTATCTACACCTCAGTTCCCTACATGCAAAATAAGCATAAAGACTTTCATTTTCAAAGGTGACTAACTGACCTGGAACACAAATACCATTATCTTTCAATGGAGCAAATGCTTCTAGACTCACTTAGGTGTTTTTGAAAATCCCACTATTTTCCTGCATTTGTCACATCTGCTTAGACCAATATCACTTTGGCACACAGACTCTCTTTTAATCACCTGTACTAGGAGCCCTTAGAATAACTGGACCCCAATTTCCGTTGGCACTAATACAAACAGTATGCAAGCAGCAGCACATTTAGCAGTGTAAAATGCTACCACTGACAGCTACGTAGTCATCTGAAAGTTCTTTCAAATACACCTACTCAAAAACTATAAAGAGACATTGGTCAAGACCAGCCTGAGATTCAGGCAGTGTACATTCTGCAGTAGTTCCTTCATTAAACTTGGATTGAGAACATTTCAATTCAGCACAGAAATGATGGCTAGGATACCCAAGTCTCTCTCATTCAGTTCAAAAGCTCCCAACCTGTTTGGACAGTTAGCTGTGATGGCCAGTCAACTGCAAATAGAATGGTCTCCCCTCTTTGACCCACACTCTTCCCCTGCAGAGACAAGAATAGAAACTACTGATATAGTCACGTGAACTCACACAGATCATCTTTTGGTAGTGGTAGCTTTGATTGCTTTAACTTCTTGCACGTCTCATGTGTCAGAACTACAAATTGGACCTTGCTGTGCCACTCTGCTGTCCAAACAATGATGGCATTTAAGGAGTTATATTTCAAAAGGTAGCCACACTCTTAAGCTGGAGTTGTCATTCTGCTCTCAACAGATAGTTTCAAAAAAGCAGATGCAAAAATAGTAATTCCTAACTCTCAGACAGGTCTGCATTCACAACTGAAAGAAAAGTATGTAGCAGGGAAATTCAAAAGGCATCTGAGCAAACCTCAGTGCCACTCCTGCTCTCCTAAGCTGCTCCATCAGCACACAGGAACCCTATAACAGCACTTTGCGAATAGTCCCAGCAACTCAGCTTGAGTGGAGTGTCAAAATGGGTGTATACTGGGGCTTCTGCCAGCTTTGGGATTAGAAATAAACTGAAGACAACAATAAGGCAGGGGGGCCTGACCATAGGCAGCAAGAGAAAATATTATTTTGGGGGGGGGGGGGGGGGGG